CTCAACCGACTAAGCCACCCAGGCGCCCCTTAAAAAAATTTTTTTTTAATCTTTATTTATTCTTGAGAGACAGAGTATGATCTGGGGAGGGGGTGAGAGGGAGACACAGAATCCGAAGCAGGCCCCAGCCTCTGAGCCATCAGCACAGAGCCAAGTGCGGGGATTGAACCCACAGACTGTGAGATCATGACCTGAGCTGAAGTCGGATGCTCAACAGACTGAGCCACCCAGGCACCCCTATAATTGCTATACCTTCATGATGAACTGACAATTCTGATAATAATATAGCTATCTCTGCTCTCTTTTGGTTACCATTTGCATGGAATATATTTTTCCATTCTTCCACTTTCAGCCAATGTATGTCCTTAGATGAAATTTAGCCTTTTATAGATAGCATATAGATTCTCTTTTTTATCTTATCCATTGAGACAATCTATGTCTTTTGACTGGGAAATTAAATCATTTATATTTAATGTAATTACTGATAGGGAAAGAATTACTACTGACATTTTGTTAATTGTTTTCTGTATGTTTGATAGCTTTTCATCATTTCCCCTTAGTCTTTCCTTTGTGTTTTATTAATTTTTTTGTTAGTGACATTCTTTGATTTCTTTCTCATTTCTTTTTGTGTAAATTTTAGAGATATTTTTTGTGATTACCATGGGGAGTATATTAAAAAATCTGTTACAACAGTCTATTTTAAATTCATAATTTGAATTACATACAAATTCTCTGCCCACTCCCACCTTGTTATTGATGTCACAAATTATATCTTGAACCCATTAACAGATTTATTTTTTTTATGCCTATCTTTCCAATTCTATACAAAAACTAAAAGTGTACTTATGTGCCAAAATCACAATAATGCAGGTTTCTGTATTTGTCATATATTTACTGCTACCAGAGAACTTTAGATTTCCAAATGGATTGCTCTGTAACATCCTTTTGTTCCAATGTAAAGGACTTTCTTTAGCATTTCTGGTAGGGCAGGTCTAGTGGTAATGAACTCCCTCCGATAAATTCTGGGAAAGTCATAATTTCTCCCTATTTTTAAAGAACAGTTTTGCTGGATACTTTATTGTTGGTTGGTGGTTTTTTCCTTTCTTTGAATATATCATTCTACTGTTCTTTGGCCTGTAAGGTTTTGTCATCTTCTTCTTTTTTTAAAGTAATCTCTACACCCAACATGGGGCTCAAACTCATGACCCTGAGATCAAGAGTTGCATGCTCCACTGAGCCAGTCAGGTGCCCCTCAGGCTTATAATGTTTATGCTGAGAAACCTGTTGAAATCTTGTGGAGGTTCCCTTGTACAAGACATTTCTTTCAGGATTTTTTTTTTTTTTTTGGCCTTTCATTAGTTTGATTATAATGTGTCCTAATGTGATTTCTTTGGATTTATCTTAGAATTTGTTGAGCATCTTGAATTAGTATGCCCACTTCTTTCCTCAAAGTTGGTTTTCATTCATTATTCCTTTAAATAAGTTCTCTGTTCCTTTTGCTCTCTCTTCTCCCATAACATGTTTATTGACCTGCTTGATGATGCCCCGTAAGTCCCTTAGGCTCTCTTCACTTCATTTTACTTTTTGTCCCCCTGACTTGATAATATCAAATAACCTGTCTCCCAGGGTGGCTGCTGCTTTCTTCGGTCTGATCAAGTCTCCTGTTGAACTTCTCTAGTGAATTTTTCAATTCACTTGTTTTTCAGCTCAGAATTTGTTCTTTTTAATAGTTTGTCTCTTTGACAACAATCTCATTTTGTTTATGTCCTTTCCTGGCTTATTAATCTTGTTTTTAGTTCACTGAGTATCTTTAAAGCAATTGTTTTAAATTTTCACCAGTTAATTCAGAAATTTTCATTTTTTTAGGGTCAGTTTCAGGAGATCTTTGCTTTTAAAAAAAGTATTTAAAGAGAGAGTGTGAGTAGGAGAGGGGTGGAGCGAGAGAATCCCAAGCAGGCTCTGCACTGTCAGCGCAGAACTTGACTCAGGGCTTGATCACATAAACCATGAAATCATGACCTAAGCAGAAATCAAGAGTTGGCTACTCAACTGACCAAACCACCCAGGCACCCCTGGAAATTTTTGTTTTGTAGGTTATATGCCTTGTGAACTGTGTTGAGTTTTGGGCATTTGAAAAACAGCCACCTCTTCCAGCCTTTACTTGGCTTTGCCAATCAGCCTAGCTAGAGGCTCATGAACCTCTCAAACTGTTTTGGAGGATGTCTCCTCTCTGGGTGTGTGTGTGTACTTTCGTTCCAGGATACACATCAACTTCTAACTGTCTGAATTTTCCTAAGAGACTTGTCCTGTTTCTTCTCAGGACTTTCCTGTTTCAGTTTCTATTGCATCTGTCTGTACTGTCTTGCAACCTCTGCAGTGCAGAACACTGTAAACTCCCTACTGCTAACACCCCTCTGTGCTCACTTCTATTGTCAATGCTTTCTAATTAGCATCCAAACCTTGCCCCCACTCCTGCTAATGCTCCAAGTCAGGTCAGACAGAATCTAGTCTCTCGAGCAGTCCCAAGACAAGCCAGAGTGTTGGACACAAGTTCTACTTTTCTCTTTCTGTCCTAAGGGAAGAGCCACAAATTGGGAGTTTCTTCTCATTTGTGTCCTGCTGTGCCTAGTAGGGAGAGGGGCTGTGGTGAACATATTTCTACTAACGTCCCTACACTTTTGGTATAGCTTCCTCCTAGTTTTGTGTTTCCGTGGGTGCTGTAGCTTCCCAACTGGTTTCTAGAGTCCTTACAAAGGTGTTTGGTCCTCAATGTTGTTAACTCAGTGTCTGTGGGAAATGAGGACCTGGAACTTCACTGGTGATGTTACTTCCTATTCACCTGCCTTTTGCTGTCCCTTGATAATCACTAGTCACAAATGTGCAAATAAATTTCCACCATATCTTAATGATGGAAAACATGCTTATCTGTCAAGTTTTATTCAAAACTAATTTGAAGTACCTAAACTATTAGAAAAATAAAAATCTCTAAGCTTTTAAATGAATTTGAAATCATCATTTATATAATTTAAGCTTAAAAATTATGGTATACATAGATGTGTTCAGAATTCTTATAGTAAGAGATATAGAGTTAAATTTAGCCTAATAAAAATTTTTCCCAATTTTTACAAGTAAAACCTCCTGAGATTAAAAAAAATAATTGAATCCTGGAAAACTCAACCAGAAATCTTTTCATTATTTAAGAAACTTTCCTCTCCCAGGTGGACGTTTTTGGTATCCCATTAAGTATTTAACCTTCCTCAATTGTTTTGTCAAGTCTTAAAGGGTTATTGTAACATTACAAATCCTGTGTATTTAGTTTTGAGAAAACATTCCGAGTAACAGGAAACACCTGTTAAATGAGGTGTTGAAACATCAACTTTGTATCACAGGCAAGCCTTGATTACTTTAGGTATAAACATACTTTTTTACTTGTTAAAGTTTTCAACTTGTGATTTCTAAAGCCTGTGATTCTCAAAGCTTCAGTGGACTAAGATAATGCATTCAGGTGATCTTAAAATAACTTAAAAAAAAAAATTAGCATGTAAGGGATGGGCAGAGAGAATCTCAAGTAGGATCTGTGCTGTTGTTGCCAAGCTCGATGCAGGGCTCCATCTCATGAACCATGAGATCATGACCTGAGCTGAAATCAAGAGTCAGATGCTTAACCAACTGAGCCACCCAGGTGCCACAATCTTACATTTTTAAGAAGTACAAAAAACTAAGTGTAGAATGAATAAAATTTTAACTATGTGCAGTGTAAACTTGTTGGGTTCACCTGTATTGCTATAACTCTACAGACAGAAAAGTGCAAAGGCATGATGTGAATTCAATGTGTAGGATCATGTATGTATTATTGTAAGCTAATCAGAAATGGACTTATGTGGGGCTCCTGGCTAGGTCATTCAGCTGAGCGTCCATCTTTGGCTCACGTTGTGATCTTGTGGTTCACAAGTTTAAGACCCGCATCAGGCTCTGTGCTGACAGCTCAGGGCTGGAGCCTGCTTAGGATTCTGTGTTGCCCTCTTTCTGCCCCTCCCCAGCTTGTGCCCCTCTCTCAAAAATATTTTAAAAAATAGAAAAGAAATGGACCTATGTTTCTTTAAATATAAAATATATTGATAATAACAGTCTTGTCTTCTCACCAGGATATATAATTTTGAAGGCAGGAACTATTTCACCTCCCTACTCTCACCCACATATTATAAATTTGTAGGCACTAGATTGAGCTAAAATGTTTTGATGAGTAAGAGTTATTATAACAACTTTGATTAAATGTAGAGCTTTTTTCTTCCTTGCTGGACACATCAATATTTTTACTACCTGCTACAGTTTTTTTTTTTTTTTTAGAGCCCTCTGAAGTAAAAGCATATCAACAATGTTCAACTGAAGAAGTTAAATATGCATTCCAAACCAATAACAGTAAATTAAGCTTATAAGTTGACTAAATGTTTAAATTTTTATATATTTATAAAGTTCCAGGATTTAAACTGTAGCTATGTATACATACTATAAAATATTTGGTGGGCAAATCTTTATTGTAAAGACAAAGTCACAATTTGTTAAATCCACCCACCTATGCTACTTGCAGGGCCTTTCAAGCAATAACGTGTGTTTATTACCATAAACAAGACATTAGCATCCTTTTTCTTTCAGGAATAGAATTTAATGATTCATCACTTACATATAACATCCAGTGCTCATTTTTTGTCCTGTTGTCACTCCTTGTTTCTAAATTTCTTTTAAAGGACTTTAAGTAATCTGTACACCCAGTGTAGGGCTTGGACCCTGAGATCAAGAGTTGCATGCTCCACCAACTGAGCCACGTGCCCCTGTTTCTAATAATTCTTATTTGAACTCTAGAACATCTCTGTTCAAAAGGGACAAATGGCATTGAGAGTTTGCCATTTAAGTGTGAATCTACTTGGCTAATACAATTAAACAGAAATTCAGAATGGTAATTGATTGTGAAGTCATAACTTTTATGAGATTGAGACAGCACATAAAATTGGAGAAAAAGGATTTATTGAAAAATACCAATAATACTGACAGACTTCAAAAGCAATTCACGCTTCCAGAATACAAATACTTAATACATTTTTTCCAAATCTGTTTGCATTTCAAACAAAGTTAGCATTTTTGTAAATCAAATTTGATAACCTGACTAAAAATATTTTCCAGCTTTAGTTTGAAAGAGCTGCACAATCTTTAAAGTGGGGACCATGAGGCAGGCAGAATGCACCTGGGACTGCGCAGCAGTCTACAGCAACATTTCCCACAACTTCAGTGCTGGAAACAAAATACTGCACAAGACAGCTGCCCTCCAGTGTCATAGAATCTAGGGAAACAGCATATCAAAAGATAGCTAGCTTTTCTTATAATTTATACACTTTCATTTAAGATTGCTTTTTTGAAGAAAATCTTTAAGAATGCCACTGTAATTTAATGTCATCCAATAGGTAAATTAAAAAAAAAACTATAATGAAAGAAATGAACTGTTGCCATCGAAATGGTCTTTGCCGAGCTGTAATAATTCTATGTTTAGATGCAAAAAATTAACACATATGCAAGTTTAATTCGAAACCACGCAAATTATGTATGTAGGCTCAGATAGTAGCAGTGTTCACTTTTATTACTAATAGCTTAACTGGAACAGCCACTCTATTCATTCCACCAGCAGAAATAGCAGCACCAGGATCTAAAATTCTTTATGTATAAAAAGCTTATGTCATTATCCAACTCTCATTCTTTGCATGCTCCAATTCTTGTTATCTTATTTAACATAAAAGCAACAGGATTTGGAGAGTTACTATTTGCTGTATTAAAACAGTTATACAGCATCTTGTACTGTCAAAAAGCAAAATACTGTGAATGGCAGCCCTTCTTCACAGCTCTACACTTGAAGCTGCCAAGCATTCACTGCTCGTGCCAGCAGTGGTATTTCCACAGTAATAGAGCAGAAACTAAAGGAATCATGGCACAATGGATTTCTGAATTCTTTTATCTACCATTGGTCCTGGGGCTTAGTACCTTCCCCTTGTAGACTGTATCTGCGGATCATTCCATTATCTTTAATGGAGGAAAGGCATCAGGTCATATAGCGGGTAATGGCTCTCAGAGCGTAGAGGAGTTCCGCTTGCATCCTAGCTTCTATAAGAAGCAGATTAACATGAACCTGAATACAAAACACATTATTTAAGGGAGGGTTGTAAGCATTCCCAAGTGTTTCAGTGTATCTAGTGTCCCCCCCAAAATAAGTACATTTTCTATGTGCCACTGAATAACTTAGAAGTCTTAAATTTGTCTCAAACTGAAAGCCATTCTAATGCTCTTTTTGGATAGATACTGAGCTCATATTTGATAACATCTCTTCTTACAGGTTTGTTATATTTCAGAAAATCTAGACATTGCTTATTTAGAATACCAACCTCCCCTGCCAAATCATCACTTAATAATTTAAATAGTTTAAAAAAGATGGTTCAAAGACCAGACATTTCTATCTATAAACAATTCTCCTAAGCAGTGACAGCCATGCCAGCACTTCTGAAGTGGGGCCAGCCACGTGTCTGCCCTGTCTTTATTCTTTTACTCTAGAACTATAATGAGATTCCCTTACAAGGGATACCAGAGATAGCTGTGCTGGAATGCTTTTCTCAGGTTGGAAGAGGTTGATGGAAAAGATTTGGGAGCCATTAGATTAGGTGAAGGAATAAGAATCACTGCTAAGTTACAGAGCAAACCACAGTAGGTACCTACCTTCTCAGAGTGCTTAAACTGCCTCCAGAAGCTATCATACATTCTTTTGGTAACCTTTTCAGGAGTGCAAACAACAGTCTTGATATAAACTTTAAAGCTACGATCCAGTAACTGGTTAATTTCACCATAGTCATAGTCATCATATCTGTTAAAAGATAAAGTGAGAACTATATATTTTTAACATATAGTTTGCTGTCTTTTCAAAGTATGGACATTAGTAGTAAATGCTGTATTTTTCTTCCCTCCCCATGTAGGCAGCTGTCTCCCCAAAATAACTGCTTTATCATGTTTAATTGGAGGTGAATGAATGACTATAAAGGGGGTAAGAAACAGAGAAGTTAGGGAGATGAACAGGAAACTTGCCAGTGCCCAAGCAACAGTATAGACTTATAATCAAAGAAGCGACTGCACTGAGGAAATTGTGAAAACAGAATTTGAGTATTGTTAAAATTAAGAATTCCACATATTAAACACTGTTATTGGTTACTACTGCATGATATATAGATCATAATCTGCTTGTGTAAATGAAAACAATTAACAGTCATCCCCCCCCCCCCCCATGTTTCCAGGAGTTTCTGGGATCACATGAGGAAAAAAATGGTGGGGGATTGGCAGAGGATTATTCCAGAGGGAAGGATGATTTATAGTCAGCCTCACAGTGTCTACACTTAGGACAAGCTGTTCTGCTTTAAGCCAAGATGGTGTCTGCTCTGCCCCAATGGGCGATAGTTTCTACAACATCCAGGGACTGAAGCCTCTTGTTTGTTGTTCAGTCAAAAAAAAAAAAAAAAAGCTCTTGCAAAGCTGGTTCTACTACCATTCTGGAGGCTAAGTAGTCTGGTCACTGATAAAATGAATAGCAAGAGAAAACCTGATTTTATAGCTGAAATAATCAAAGTCCTAAAACATAGCGCTTATGTGCATATGTTAGAAGGTGGTATATAATGGCTGCACTTCCTGTATAATATGACTGAATACCTAATGGGACGAGAAAGTTTTGCATTTTGATGAAGTATCATGGGAGTAGGTACTGTTCAGAAGGAGCTTGAGAATAGCCAAGGGCACTATAAGCATACTTAGTTCCAAGAAGATAGGAGATGATACAAAGAGAAAAGATACCAAAGATTCCTCTATGCTCTAGGACCAGCTTGCTTGCCCTCCCCTGTACCTGAAGGCAATGTCCCTAACTTTCCCTTCCCTTCTGCCGAGCTAGGAGAGTGGAAATAACACGAGCTGCATTAAATTTTTTTTTTTTTTTTTTTTTTTACTCATAAGTGACATAAAAATAAGCTATTGGGGAAGGGATAGTTTTGAAAATTATACATATATGTAATATATATATAGTGTATCTCTGTGTATGTGTTTCAAGCACTTGAATAATTTAGCTCAAAGGAAAATATCTCTTTGTAAACATAATAGACTAACCTTATTCCAAACATGCAGTGAATATAGTTCCAAATAGCCCGTCTAAGCATTGAGGTATCAACATCTTTGTGCATTGCCATTGTATTATAAGTAAGATTGTAAGCAATGTGAAATTTTTCATCAATCAACTGTCCCACATCTGGATAAAGGCGATTTACCAAAGAATAACCATGGTCTTCCCAGCAATAGTCCTAAATACAGAGAACATAACAAATGTGAATAATTAAAATGTGGCCAAGTATAGTTCATATGGCAGAGCAGTAGAAATAGGTCAGATTACTGGCATTTGGAATCCACTGGCTTTCTAGTATGTTCCCTGCAGCACACAAGCCTTTCGTAGCTCAGTGAGTTTAAAAACCAGTGAGATTCTTACACACAGGCCATCCATTTTCAGCTTTCTCTGTCTCTTCATTCAGCATCCAGAGGCAACCCATCTTGGGAGTCATCTCTCCTTTTCCATAGCTGCAGCTACTCAAATGGTCCTCAAATTTTTGTCAATTTTTAATTCAACACAACCGTCACTCATTCCTTTTCCTCCTACCTCCGGATTCTTAGCATTATTAACTGAGTCTCCTAGTTAGTTTTCTTACACTAAATTTCCCTGCTTCCCCTCTTTCTACCTCAAGCAAAATAAGCCCCTACACTACTTCTATACTGCTCTCAAATTTATTTTCCTGAAACACCTCTTTGGTCAGTTTTGTAGGTTTTAACCAGAGTAACAACATATCAATTTTAAATTAGCTTCACCCTAATCAGAAGTAGGAATCCTTTGCTTGAAGCACTCAGCAGCCCAGCCAATTTCTTTATGATCCCTTCCCTCACTCTGTCCTTCAATCTAAGCTCAATGTATTGCCTATAGTCTCCTCTGCTTTACGATGCCTATGCTTTTGTACCATTCAAATCTCTCAAATCCTAACTCCCACCGTAACATTTCCAATCCACATGATCTCTTCAATTCTAATCTGTTATATTTCTTGACACAATTATACTATCAAGTAGAAATATTCTATAATGCTTCCTTGTGCCTAATTTTTGTCCCTTTAAACAACATCTTCATCCCTTGAGCAAAGAAACACAATTTTATAGTTCTCAAATTTTCATAATTTTGATAAAATAGCTTTTACTTAATTGGACCCTCACAATAACAAAGTTGGGAATATCAACTCATCTAAATTAAATATTTATACAATAGACTATTTAAGAAATACAGTTATGCTGCAGTATGTTTCTATTAATGGACTGGATTGGAAACAGTCTTACATGGCTTAGAGTACAGAGTAAATACTTGCTAATTAATTGAAGATTTTCAACTTTTACTGTGGAACCAGAGACTATGGCTACTGTTGCTCCTGAGATATATTTGCAAAGCACTTTTAGCACAGTACCCCCTACCAAGCAAAAACAGGAGGAGCCTAGTATCCTCGAGGACACTAAGTCCTAAGTTTCCATAGACTCAGAATTATACTGAGGAAGTTTTAATGTATATTTCAAAGTTCATGATTTCAGAGCTAAAGAAACTGGATCTACCAAAAATATTTCTATTCCCCACATCACTAATTTTATTCACTCTGAGAGAAGTGTTAAGTAATTTTGAATAACATTTATGTGAATCCTCTCAAGGTTTAATTTAAAACCCTCAAAAATGTTCATTGCTTCAAGTAATATTCAGTACATAGTTCACAGGGAATCAGGATAATGTAATTGTCATGATTTTACGGTCTATGTTATCAGTAAGAACACCCAAATTATAAAGAAAACAAGCAGAAACTTACTTTCCCTAAAAAAGAGTAAATAAAGCACACTTTAAATAAATTTCACTTTTGAATTTTTCATCCTCTTTCCCTCTACTCACATACACGTAATGCTTGAGAGGCCAGGGACATTTATTACTCAGGCCTGGTGCATATCAGGGCCCCACTTTAACACTCGGGCTCAATAGGAGAGGAGAAGAAAATCCAATGCTATAAATGCTACTATTATTCATTATTTAGATATATTACAAACTTGAGTTTTGGCACACCAACTGGGAACCTAATCCAATATTGTAATTCAGTTTTATGGGTGAATGTTTTGATTTCTGAACAACTGATTTAGGAACTTTAACAATAAAATAAATATATTTAAGGGAATTGCCTGATAAAGAAAAGTTACATCTTCAACATTCTATAATTCTCAAATCCAGGGCAGGGGGGTTTCGTATTTTAAGTCAGACTGAGATACTTCTAACTAATCACGAGCAATTTTACCTGGACTCGAAATGTTGGAACATGCATCCCGTGTCTAGAGAAATCCTTATAGCCATAACTGGTATCCTCAAAGTGACGAGATACATCTCTTGCTGGTGTAACTTCTTCATCATCTGAAATAATTAAAAAGACACTGAAAGCTTTTCAAAAACAGAATGCTAGTTAAAATTCATTTTACCTATAACAAGTAAAAACAGGATAGCCCTTTCTCTCACAGTGAGTAATCAACTAAAGTCTTAAAACCGTAAAGAGAAGTAGCTTATTTACCATTAAATGGAATGTAATTAGATTTTGTTATAAAAATATTCATGGTTGAATTTTGATGCTTTGCATTTTTCTCTTTCCTATGCCTTCTATGTCCCCAGTTCTACTTAAAAGCAAGTACTCAAAGTTTGAACACCTTTTGGGTAATCTTTATGGTGATTAATCATTTATGCTCTATACTTTAGCACTTGAATGATTTCTGTTTAAATATTAATGTCCTACAATATATAATATGATCTAACACCTCAAAGGGTCCTAGAAACAATACTGGAGTGGTGAATCATTTTTACAATGTTTCCTGAACTGCTCTAAACCTTTCTGGATTGCTTTCATGTTTGTTTGAAGTAAACAGAAAAAAAAAAAAAAACTTTTCCTCAAGGAGAAACAAGGTAACATCCAACCTTCATTTATACACATTTTATTTTTTCTGGGTGTCTCAGTCAGTTAAGCATCTGACTCCTGATTTTGGCTCAGGTCATGATCTCAGGGTTTGTGAAACTGGGCTCTGTGCTGACAGCGTGGAGCCTGCTTGGGATCTCTCTGCCGCTTTCTCAAAATAAATAAACTTAAAACATCTTTTTCTTTGCTATTAAGAAATTTGGTGCTTTTAACACATATGCTTTTTCACTCTGTTATCAAAATACATTTTGAGACACTTCAACTGTTTTTCCTGTAAATTACCCGATTTATATATTAAATCCTATACCCTGTATATAAAGGCCAAACATAAAGGATTTAAGTTTGTTGTCAATTGTCTAATAAGCAGTTCCATTTCACAAATCATTGTATTTTAAAGCTAAAAAGTAATCTCAGAGCTTTACAAACCCAATTTCCTAATTTTATTTAATTTCTTTAATGTTTGTTTATTTAGAAAGAGTATGTGAGTAGGAGAGGGGCAGAGAGAATCCCCAGCAGGCTCTGCATGGACTTGGGGCTTGATCTTACATACTGTGAGATCATGACCTGAGCCAAACTCAAGAGTCAGATGCTTAACCAACTAAGCCAGCCGGGTACCCCCATACATTCACAAAGCTTATTAGCAGTGATTTTAGTACAAAAACCCAAATCAAATGTCCTCTTTTAGTCTAGTGCTATTTATACTAAAACTTCTTTTTCTAGGTTGCCTGCTTTATTTATAGGTAGGAACACCTATGCAATAACAGCTTCTCGAAAAGGAAAGATGTATTTGGATTGAGGTTTTGAAACTTTATTTCTTAAAAAAATTTTTTTTAAATGTTTTATTTACTTCTGAGAGAGGGAAACAGACAGCATGAGCAGGGGAAGGTCAGAGAGAGAGGGAGATACAGAATCTGAAGCAGGCTCCAGGTTCTGAGCTGGCTGTCAACACAGAGCCCGATGCGGGGCTCAAACCCACAAACCGGGAAATCATGACGTGAGCCAAAGTCAGAAGCTTAACTGACTGAACCACCCAGGCGCAACTTTGGCTCAGGTTATGATCTCATGGTAGTTCGTGGGTTTGAGCCCCCTGTCAGGCTCTGTGCTGACTGCCAGCTCCAGAGTCTGTGTCTCCCTCTCTCTCTGACCCTCCCCTGTTCACTCTCTTTCAGAAATAAATAAAACATTGAAAAAAAATTTTTTAAACTTTTATCTTTTATTAGAGAATTTAAATAAAAGTTTCTATTTTTTTTAAAAAAATTTTATCTAAATTCTCACCCCCACCTGGGTGGCTCACTGTTAAGTGTCCAACTCTTGGCTTTGGCTCAGGTCATGATCCCATGGTTCCTGAGATTGAGCCCTAAGTTGGGCTTTGTGCTGATAGAGTGAAGCCTGCTTGGGATTTTCTCAAAAATAAACATTAAAAAAATAAAATTCTCTAAATAATAAAAGGCGGCTCTTTTTGGTAAGCAATAGAAGTTTTGCTGACTATGTAATGATTGCTTTTACCTGAAGAGAAGACAAACATGCTCTCTCTTTTTTCTATTTCAAAACGCGAAGCCATCTCTTCTTGACTTGCCTCTTCTTCATCTCGACATTCCTGTAACTGCCTCATCTTTTCCATGAGGGCTTCAACCTCAAAAAAGGAATCACTTACCTGAAGAGAAAATATAATGTTGCATATGTCAGACAAAGGATGAAATTTAAAAAATATCTTTTATTAAGACACAAATTCTTATGAGACAACAAAATATAGGAAAAATAGATCTTATAATTTTGGTGTACATATACAGGTCTATAGATTTTAAAATAAAAATTATTTAAAAACGTTATTGTTAGTGCTGAGTTTTAAGAATTAAAATTTAACACTTATCGTCAACTTAGAACGGCTCAGTTAAACAATATATGAAAGTATAAGTGGTTTTGCCTCAACTATGCACATTTGGGCACACTGTCAACACGTGTCTACCACCTTCAAATTATAGTAATCAGTCTGAATTTACCAATTAAGAATGAAATTTGTCCTTAAAGGGTTGGAATTCTCCACCTGACCTCTGCCAATGGGGTTGGCAGCTGTCTCTTGCTGGGATGACTAGAGCAGTGACATCTGTAGAACAGGTCTGACACATGAGGACTGGCCAGTGCACTTGAACTAGCCAAACAATACATACTTCCATACCCTGCTGCATCCTTACTATGAAAGTGGGATCAAATCTGTGAAATTTATCTTATAAAACATTAAGAAATCTTCCAATTTCAAGTCTCAGTATTCAAACACAGAACTGTTTTCTCATTAAAAATATCTTTTGCTAGGAATGTTCTTCCCCTACTCTTATACTCTTTTCCTGGCTTATACCCATTGGTCCTTCACATGTCAGCTTACTTGCTTTTCCTGTTCTGTCCCCCCATCCCAAACCTTGCCACCCTAATTATGGTCACACAGCATTCTGCTCATTCCTTCAGAGCACCAGATACAATTCGTAATTGTTATTGCATGATACTGGTTTAATGCCTGCCTTCCTCAGACCAAACCTTCATAAGGACAGGGGACTTGTCTAATTTATAAGTATATATTCAGAGCCCAGCACAGTACCTGGCACATAGTAGATTATTTGCAAAATATTTGTTGCAGAAAGCTTGTCAGGATAATTCTACACTAAGATACAAATAATCTGTACTACTGGTACTTTATATTTTCATATGACCCTAACAGTTACACTGAAGCACCCGATAGTGAGTACTTTCTCTCACAATTTCATGATGGCGGAAAGTGTTCCTATGATGTATTAGAGGTTCTTCTGGTACATAGTTCTCCTTAATTACTCCTAAGCCAGAGTTGGTAGCCAAATAAAGGGCTAAAAAGATGACCCAAGGTTTACCAAAAAAAAAAAAAAAAAAAAAAAATAAGGTTTCTGTCAACTCACATTATCCTTCATTATATTACCTATTTTGTTTATTTACCTTCTTCTAAAATAGCCCAAATTTTAAGTATTCTTATGAAAGACAATTCTTGATAGAATTTACAGTGAAGAGGAAAAGGAATTGAACTGAATCAGACATCTAATATGTACCTGAAGAATAAACTATTAGCTCACTGACAAGTGCCCTCAGTGTGGGCCATAAGCCACAAATAGCCAACTCAGGGAATTAAATAGAGGAATTTAAAATTTCTATTATTTTACTATTAATCTCATGTAATAGAGGGATAACCAGAAATAATCAAGTACTTTTTAGCCTTGTGCTATTTTTTTTTTACCCTTTACCCTAAAAATTTTATTAGGGAAAAACTACAAAATATTTATAGTACAATGTTTACAGTCACAATTTGTAGTGAACCAATTTCCCAAAATATATTACAACTCAAGTTGACTTACTTGTTACATTCAAAAACCTACTTCTAAGTAGTACAGAGTACATACATACCTAGTGCTCCAACCGTACCTATGTACAAACAAACTAAAGCTACTGCTCATTCATCCCCTGTTCAGGAAAGCATTCTTGCCTTTCTATACACCCACACAAAAAGTACAAATTTTGGAGTTTTCTGTAATGAAACAAGGCGTGCTGGTGTACTGCATACCATTTTAGCACTAAGAGGTGGCCTCTTCACTTCATATAAAAAAAGTGGTAAATATCTTTTCCTTTTGTGTAGTTGAACCCATACTACATTCAAATTCTCTCAAGCACTAATAGACAAAATACTTATGTGGTTGAGGAAGACTTAAGGCAAGTTCTGGCCCTTCCAAAGGCACTATAAGACTACCCCCAACCCCTTTATTTTCTTCAGCCTTGTACTAAATCAAAGGTGAGAGAGGACAACAATCCAGCTCCAAGCATCCTAGCAACTGTTACCATTTTCCCTTAGACCATCTCATAAAAGTTTTACTAAATGGTCAGTGGCCAATATTATGGCCTATAACATTAATCCAAGTAGCTCAACAGGGTGAAGCTGATGGTCTTGGGCCTTGTGAGCACAGCAGTGATCAATCCTAGGAAAATTATTTTCCTTATGTGCTAATCTCACCATATGTAAATGGTACTTCTTATTTAGCACTTGATAAATGCCAGCTGTACTAGGCCTTTTAGAGACATTCTTTAGAAACATTTCATTTAAACCTCAAATAACCTTATGTTTATTTAGACATGAAAGAACAGAGGCTCAGGGAGGTAAGATAACTTGCCCACAGTCAAATATATACATTAAAGGTAATTCAAAACTGTTCAAATCTGTTTCAAAGGAATAATATAACCGAGAAAATCTATGCATGCAAAGTATTCAGAGAACTGTGATGCTGTTTCTGTGATTTCTATAGCAAAAGAATGCAGAGGGGATTTTGACTCATCGTATTTAGGAATTAAAATCTGCTTATAAAAAATTCAACTTGTTCTAATCTGTTTCAAGGGAATAACAAAATTGAGAAAATATAAAAGCCAGAGAAGGAATAGAAGTGAAAACATTTTAATAAACTTACTTTCACTTACATATATATTTGTGCCAAGTTAAACATGAAAAAAGAATTTTAAAAGGAGAAATTTCTAGTTAAGGCTGATGAACTCTTCTAAAAGATCATTAAGAAACCAGCCTGTTTCTTTTATGCAAAAGGGAGGAAAAGAATGTGATCAGCATCAGGGAGTCTCCACCACTAATTTCCATGGTCTCAGCCTCCCCTCATCTCACTGCAGCACCCATTCAATACTAGCTGGCTCTCAATGGGCACATGCTGGTGCCTCCTGATCCTAAAATTACTTGAGTGTAACCTCCTAAAGGGTCTGATTTTATTTTATTCCTTAGCCCTAAACTATTGCTGAGCATTTAAAGGCAGTTGATAAATACTTGTTGAATGAACAGGTAGAGAGCCTTAATATCTCTATGGATTTAACAAGGTAGGTTTTCCAAGAAGTCACAGGAAAAAATAATATAGCAGCAATTATTATGATTAGTTTTATGATAATCCTGTAACAAATAATACTTACCGGAACATTCCCTGCTGAGTTGACCTGCATCTCATCCACACTGTGATTGCCATTTGTAATGTCACAGATGCAGTAGTTACTAACGGAAGGAGGTCTGAATGTGTGGCCACCGTCACAATGAATTTCTGGACTGATTCCACAGCCAAATGTGAATGAGGCAAGAGAATGATAGTGTGTGAGGAGAACCACTGCATGTACCAGTTCTGCAAGGGACCAGCTGTGCTCTTCAGCTTTTAAAAGTCCCTCAAGAAAAAAAAAAAGGAGAACATATTTTTATACTAGTTATGGTGTTGATAAAAGTAAATAGTTCATCTTGGTATTTAATCTATTTAAAACAGAATTAGGGGGCATCTGGGTAGCTCAGTCGCTTAGGCATCTGACTCTTGATTTTGTCTTAGGTCATAATCTCATGGTTCATGGGTTTGAGCCCCACATGAGGCTCTGAGCTGACACCATTAAGCCTGCAGTGTTGAGCCTGCTTGAGATTCTCTCCCTGCCCCTCCCCTGCTCATGTGTGCAGGTGCACGCATGCACTCTCTCTCAAAATAAACTTAAAAAATAAAAATAAAAACAGGATTAGTCACTGTATAAAACCTAGGGTACAATAATAATTTGAGACACACAGAACCCAGAATGCTATTTTTTTATCGATCATGTAAACAGAGCTTAACATAATCGGATAATGACATATTCATTATTATTTTGATTTTCCAAAATCCTGATTTAAAAATGTAACAATACTTTTTGTTTAAAAGCAGTTGTCATATTTCAGATGCTGGACTATGAATGCTTTAACTGTTATTCAAAGTCTCAATCTAAGTGTAATAAAAATGTATTTAAAGTGAAAGCTACTGTATAAAATATGCCTGTGTTTTTCTTTATCATCAAGCTTTCTCAAGGAATTTTAAAGGCAGTAGTTTGAACTTGACTCTTCATATCCCTAAATCATCAAATTAGATTTATTTTAAAAATTATGTTCAAGGTAAAGTCTATGATTCTTCAAATTCTTACAGATCATACCCTTTCTCTTCATTTCTTGTTTTATAATCCTGTGTAATTTTGCATTACCAGACAATATAATAGATACTATGTTAATCCTATTCAGATCTTATATCTTAATAAGATGCTTCACTTTATAATAGTATTGAACATGTTTTATGAAATAGAAAGATAAACCCAAGAATATGTTGTATTTTTAAGAATTTCTACTCTAGGTAGCTACTTTTAGAGATGTCAATCTACCTTTATTTTATTAATAAACAGAGCCAGAAGGCACTAATTTAAATGGCATTTTATAAAGATACACAAGATGCCACTTCACACCTATCAGAATGGCTAAAATCCAAAACACTGATACACCAAATGCTGGTAAGGATGTAGAGAAATAGGAATGCTCATCCAATGCTGGTGGGAATGCAAACTGGTACAGCCACTTTGGAAGACCATTTCCCAGTTTCTTGCAAAGCTAAACACAGGCTTACCATGGAATCTAACAATCACATTCCTGGTTATTTACCCTAGTTGAACACTTATGTTCACCAAAAATACCCTGCATGTGAATGTTTATAGCAGCTTTCTTCATAATTGCTCAAAACCAGAAGTAACCGAAGATGGCTTTCAAACGAACTATGGTAACTCCATATAGTGGTGTATTATAATTCAGTAATAAATAAAGGAACAGTTAAGCCAGGAAAATGCATGGAGGAAACCTTAAATGCATACTGATAAGAAAAGCAGCTTGTCTGAAAAGATGATATACTGTATGACTCCAACTATGTAACATTCTGGATAAAGCAAAATTATAGACAGTAAAAACATCAGCAATTGCAGGGTTTCAGGGAGAAGGGGAGGGAGATGAACAGGTGGAGCCCGGAGGATTTTTAGAGCAGTGAAACTTTTTTGTATGATAGTGTACTGGTGGCTGGATGACATTAGCATTTGTCAAAACCCATAGAACTGTACAACACAAAGAGTGAACCCTAATGTAAGCCACAGACTTTAGTTAATAGATCAATATTGATTCTTTACTTACAGCAAATGTTACCATACTAATGCTAGATGTTAATAAAAGAGACTAGGAAGGAGGTTCAGGAGGTTAGAATGTGAGAACTCTGTACTTTCTGTGCCATTTTTCTGTAAACCTAAAACTGCTCTAATAATTAAAGTTTGTTAAAAAAAAAAAAAAAAACCACCCTAGAGACATTACTTCTACTTACCTCAATATGTTCTTTGGTGATAAGCCAAGGTCTATGGGCTAACACTTTGTTAAGTTCTCCTAAATTTTGTAGTTTTTGAGGAGCATTCTCTAAACCATTAAGCCATTTGGGGTTTCCACCAACATGAAGGAAATCATTTACATGGAGGTTCACTAAGTAGGAACACTGATGTCTTGCTGCAGCCTTAAGAGAAAACAAAAAGATCAATCTAACTATAAATATTAAAATCTTAAACTATGAATCTTTCTACTTTACAATGTGTAAAATAGCAAGTGTTTGATTAGTCTGTTTGCAAATTTTTCATAGAAAATTTTTCATATAAACATTAAAAAATCACACACACCATAGAAAGCACCTCAGGAATATCCTGAGAATAAACTAAATATCTGATAAAAATATTTGAGCCTTAGGAATTGTATTTATGTAACTTTCAGATCCTCAGATTAACAAACGTCAGTTAAGGTGCCAACCATAAAATAATGGAGTATAATTTACAAATCGAACAGGAGTAGCACCACTTAAGTCAGTGTGAACTATCTGTAATAGTGAAATAGATCCTGTGTTCTTCTTTCTTCTGATTTAGTGGAAAATGGTTGTCAATAGTGTATAAATACTCTTCTTTTTAGTGATACACTTGAGAGTATACTTATTTATTAAGAGGAAAACCACATACTATCTAACAGGAATCCAATAAGTTAGAAAATAAGTATTCATCCCTGTGTTTAAAGCATTAACCATCTCTTAAAATGATTAATAAAGGAAGCAGGAAGAATTTTCCTTTAATGTTTACAAACCATTATTCCAATGTAGTGCCGATAATATAGGGGTAATGGCCCATCCATTTGCAGTAGATAGTGTTGAGTTTTTAGGAAACTTTCTAGATATTGTGGGTGAAAAACCATCACTAATGTAATGTTATCCAAACGACCCAAAGCAGCAAAAGAATCTGCAAATAAAGCATGCATCTGTGCGTCTTCACTTCCCACTTGGAGAATCTGTATGAAAGAGAGGAAAACCATGGTTACATAAATTGTAAATTGGTATTAGAATGCAGTGCATACATATTTAAGTGTCATCTAGAAGCAGGGTAAATTTGGCTTGAGAGAAAGGTTATAATTCTGAAAATCTAACTCAACTGGCAGCCAAGACAGAAGAATAAACAGTTGCACATTATGTAGTAGGTAGGAGATAAACAACAAAGGCCGAACATTAAAGGCCATCTAGATAGGCTGCTTGTAGACTTGGCCAGAATCCAGATAAAGAGGCAGATTTAGATTATCAAATTTGCAGAGCTTGCAAACAGACTCTAAAGCCTTTACCTTTTCTTTATAATGACTACTCTCAATTTAAGGAGAACCAAAATTAACATCAAACCAACTTTGAAAACAAAGCATAGGAGCTTTTGCATATTTAGAATTAAACATCCAATCTAGCATTGACACCATTCCTGTAGAGATGGCCAAGACCAAGTAACTCAGCTTACAATCATGCATCTACCTAAACATCTAAATATAAAGAGATGGAGTATCATTGGTCGAAAACAAGTCTTGCCTTTCCTAGATTAAATACGGCTGTTAGAAAAGCGTCATGAAATACTAGAAATCAACATGAGCATAACAGCTTTTTAATCCCACAGATTCACTGCCAAAGCATGATGATTAACTGCGATCAACTCGTAAAACATGTTGTTGTCCAACAGTTGTTCAGATGCCAAGACATGGGTCATGAAAGCTTTTCCTTAAAAGCATACAGTTCACTATGTACTTTCACAAACAACATACCTCCTTTTCTGGGATGAATCTGCTTGGTCCGTGTCCTAGTGGTCGAGGAATTCTAATTCCAAGTTCCTAGAAAAGAAAATTACACCATCTTAGACTTCTTAGCAGTAAACAACATGAACTGAGGCTACAGGAATGTGGGGGAAAACAAACAGTTGAACAGAGACAGGCTTGTTTTGGTGGTTTGTTTTCATGGCCATATATACATACCAACTCCTCTGTTTGCATCGTATGGCTGACAAGAGCTTATAATATAATATGACACAGACTAAAAACAATAAAACCTGTCTCACTAAAACCAGAGTTTTGCATAAAGTACTTGGCAGAAAGTCTAGAACAGAAAGTTCAGCACATAGCAACCAACCCTGTGGATTGTCACTGATACAAAATAAGACCAATGTGTTTGTACATCCAAAACTCAACCAACCAAAACATCAACCCCTGTATATCTGGTCATGAAATGAAAAAGCACTAACCTCTGCCTAGATGACTTAAACTGAAAGGAGTGTAATTATTATTACACCTACAATAACACTTCACAATAGAAGAAACAGTATGAAAAATAAAAAGTAGTTACTTAAGTTTATAAAAGAAAAAGTACTGCAGCACATGTTTTCTCTGTGGCTGAGTAAAACAATCTCTTAGAAACTGAGTTTGCTTTAAATCTTTTATTTCTAGTATGTTATCACTTTGCTTATATTTTAGAGCTCAAGCAATGAACAAAGAAGGTTTTCTGCCCTTTGACATAGTCAATCTAGAACCTGTACTTGAAGTCTACTAGAATTGTGTATTTGATGTGACACTGTACTATGCTTAACAAAACTGACAAGTGTTAAAGGTCCATCGTTTCCCCAATGTGTGGTTACAGAAACAAAACTAAAATAACAACAAACTTTTTTTTAAAGGCTCATGTCCTACCAATCTGGTTTCTTTTTTTTTTTTTTATAGTTTATTGTCGAGTTGGTTTCCATATAGCACCAAGTGCTATCAATCTGGTTTCTAAAAAACAAAAAACAAACAAAGAAATTTCTAAAGTTTACACATCTATTTATATTTATAAACCCTGGCTTATATGATTGCATACCAATACTATTTGTACCCTCTACTGCTTCCAAAAGTCTTCAGGATGTTCCTTTTAAAGAAAAAAAGGGGGGGGGGTCATGCAGACAGAGAAGGATATGTGGCAGCAATTAAAAAAATCTGGGCCAAGTGAATGAAAACATTTTGAGCACAGTGGATTTTTAAAAATTAAGCAGGCAGGACAAAACTGAAGAAAATCTTTATTGGGAGAACTTAAGATGTGGATTCAAATATACTTGCCAACACACTTATACTGAACATAGCAATGCTCTGTTTCCTTCACTAGAGGAGGCACTCAATTCACTGGTCTGGGTACATGTATGTCTTAATTTTAAAAGCCTGTAATAAATACAAGAAAAAACCCCCACATTTCTTCTATTCAATGCATCATCTTGGCACAAATGCAGCCATTTATATAAAACAATGACTATTAGCCTTTCTAACTGCTGAATTTCTGATCCAATTACAAAGATTTGAAACAAAATATATTGGGCCAAACATTAAGGTTAAATTCAATATTTACCCCTTTTCATTGCTTCACTATATTAAATAAAATGCATTTTAGGAAAACACCTGTTTCAAGAGTTTATTACTCTTTTTATACCTAAGAGACACTACTTTCTTGAGACTTTACTATATTAAAATGTAATATTTCAAATGGAGGAGAAAATGATGATTCAACAAATGATCTTGATACAACTAGAGAGCCACTCAGAAAAAAGTGAAGTTGGAACCATAAATCATACTTAAATTAGACGTAAGTTTAAAAAAAAAAAAAAAAAAACCAAAGCAAAAAATATTAGTGCTAGAAGAAAACACTCATGGATGAAGTTAGGCCTAAAAATGCCATAAAACCCGGAAGTTGTAAAATAGAAGATTGGTAAATTTGATGACATAAAAATAAAGACTTTCATGTGGGAAAAATAAATATATAAAAAAGTCAAAAGCAAACAGAAAATCAGGAAATATATTTGCAGTTCCTATATCAAAGGGGCTAAATTTCTTGAATACATGAAGACTCCTATAAATCAGTAAGAAACCCCACAATGACCTGATAAAAAATGAACAAAGGACATGGACCAAGAAAAGGAAATACAAATGGCTGAAAAATGGTCAACCTCACAATAAAACTTAAAGTTAGCTACACTGAGATACTATTTTTCACCTAAAAGATTGCTTAAGATCAAAAGTTTAATAATAGGCTGCTGAAGAGGAGGTAGATAAATAGCCACTCATTGCTTATACATTTCTCCTGGGAGTGTTCTGAAGTGTGAGGAAGATCAAGAAATACATAAGAAGTATAAATTACTACAACCTATAGAGAGGGCAGTTTGTAATAGTGATTGAAATTAAAAAGTCGTAAATCCTTTGAATCAAAAATTTCATCTTAAATGCTGACCTGTACTCACAAAAATGCCACATGTAAAAGGATAATCACTGCAACATTGTTTCTAATAGTACAAAATATAAAACAACCTGAACGCTCATCAACAGGACTATTTTAATGTAGTATGACCACAGACTAGAATAACATGCAGTCCTTACAAAGAGAATGAAGCAATTCTATATGACTTGGATTTAAAAGACCTCCAAGATATGTCTCTCTCTCTCTCTCTCTCTCTCTCTCTCTCTCTCTCTCTCTCTCTCGGGAGCAGGGGTCAAGGTCGGGGAGAGCCAAGTGCATAAGATGTGTACATGTATTATGTTACTATCTGTAAGGAGAGAGAAAAAGAACTTAGCAATTCCATTTCTAGGACTTTATTTTACAACTAAATTAGCGACATGTGGGTGGCATATACGTATTTTTAATAACAAGATTGAAAGCACATGGGCCTCAAAACAAAGAGGTTGAATTATATTATTTTGGTTTTGTTTCTATACCAAATATATCTTTTACATATTGAACTATCATAAAACAATAGCTTTAGAATTCAAAGTGGCTATCAGTGTTTCAGAATGGAGTATTTTCCTATAAGTAGAGCAAAGGCCTTTCCCAATGGTCCTATATAATTTTCAAGTCTTTGAAAGTGCATCCCTACAGCCAAATTTAATGGTCATATTGGTATCACTTCTCCCCTATTCCTTCCTTCACAGTCCTTTAGACATACATTATTTCAGAGTGAAAAACTATGTGTTTTAAAAGAGGATGTTAATTAAAAGTAAACATTCTTGGGAATGGATTTGAGACCTATTATGCTAATAATCGTATTGTTGAGGTCATAGTCATTCTTTAATGAGGTACGTCTGGCAAGAAAACTGGACACAGAAGAGTAGAAAAACTGAAGAAAGGAAAGGAATGGAAAAAAGTCTCAGACATTCAAGATTCCAATTTCATTATTTTACTCAAGTCTAGTTCCAGGTAAACTAGAATTGTACCCAGTTCACATTCATACTACTGGGGTCAATTTCCTCCTAAGATGAAGAGGTTGTGAGAGGTCTGTGCCATTCCCTAAAGGCAGAAAGGAAAGGAAGGAAAAGGAGAGGAAGTGAAAGAAAAGACTGGGAGGTGGGGGTGAGGCAGGGAGACATGATATACTTAAAAAAATAAAATAAAGTCTTTCCCAAAAAGGATTGATGAAGACTAATATAATGGGAAATATAGTTAGTGCTGTTCAACTTATTCTCTATATTTGAAGGCTAAACTCAATGTCCTTTGTTCTCTTTCTTAAAAGACTAGGCACAGGAGAGGGATACAAGAATATGAACTGATGAGCTCTAAGGCTCCATTCCACCTCATCCTAGATCAGATTCAGGCAGGAACGAGATCATTTTATAAATTATGTATACTTCTATATATGTCAAATTCTATATAATATTTATATAACAATTATAAACATAAATTACATATAATTTATAAATTATATATGTATATAATTTGAAATCAAGTATCTAGCTCAGTATTAGTGAGTGGGGCAGATAGGGGTTGAATCTAGGAAATCTGGTTCTTTATTACTCTTTTGAGTCTCTGGAAGAGTTTTTGACCCCTTAAAGATCTTTTTGGATACCACTGTTGTTATACAATAGTATTCTTGGTTTCTAAAAGGTTAAAAGTTTTAATTTCCTGGAAAATTCATTTTTGGAACAGTTCTTTTCCTAGTCAACATGAGAACTTAGTTCTACCCCATCTTTTAGCAGGTATTGATTTAAAAAAGGTAATACCTTTTTTAATAGGATCTTCAATAGAGTGATCATAAGCCAAACTAACTGCATTTCATAATTTCCTAAAGGCTATTTCAATTATGCCTTATCTGTTGCTGTTAAGAAAATGAATTACAGACTTTGAATAAATTTTGGCCAAACCAGATTCTAAGACACAGAACTGCTGACAGCAACTGGCCTTGTTTAAAACAGCAGATGTAGATGCTAATCACAGCACAAACCTCACCGGCCCTTGGTGAAGGTGTGGCTGGAAAAACTAACGTGGGAACTAACAGTTCTTTCCTCTCAACAATTCTCCTAATCAGCATTTTGAAAAAGATAGCAACAGCCTCTGCCATAACAACACTGCTGCAAGTCTCTGACATAACATCTATTTATTCATTAGCATACAATACTAAGACACTCATTTTCACAATATGAAAATTCTTAGCAAATGGTGACAGTACCACAGAAAGACTCTGTGTGTTGTATCACTGTTGAATCAGTGTTTATATACTAAAAGTCCTGTTCTGATCATTTCCAAATTGGTTAAAGATACATTTAGAAATCTATATCAATGGACTGTCTTTATTACTCTTTTGAGTCTCTGTAGAGTTTCTGACACCTTAAAGGTCCTTTTGGATACCACAGTGCCACAAATGCAAAAGGAAAGCATTCCTTGGCTTCTAGTGTCTACCCACTGGCAAAACTAGTTGAAAAGTAAATATGATTAAGTCATTTGAATCATTTTTCTCACTGGGCTTGGGGCACTTTTAAAAAACTGTCTAGATGTTTTATACCAATAACCACAACACTCATATTAGTTTTGAGTTTTAAAAAATTACAAAAGCAGTATGTGCTTTAACTAGGCAACAATAAATTGTGTAAAAAGTGAAAGCTCCCACCCCACTCTCCCTTCTTTAGAAGAATCACTGCCTAGAGCTGATGCTAGGCTTCTGATGTTCAAAAATTTTAAATAGAATTGAAACGATATAGAAGGAATAAAAATATATGACTGCTATAACAAACATACTGGCGTTTTTTTTTAATTGTCATTACCTCTACTTGGCAGCTTAAAAATATTGAAAATTCAGGTACCTCTTTTTCTAGTACCTGGTGTTCTATAAGATACATTCTAAAAAACTAAAAACTCAAAAAAAATTATAAAAAAATAACAACAAAAACCTCACTGACTTCAAAGTACCTGATTTGTAAGGCCATATGTGTGCCCTATATTTTAGTTAGGAGTTCCATCCCTGGAAAGGGTCTCACTTTAAAGCATAATGGAAGCATGCTATCTGAAAGAGTCATGCCATTCTTTTGTAAAATGAATACTTTCCCTATAAAGCACTTCTTCCTAACTTATTCCCCCACATGTTGGATGTGTTAAAAGTAATAAAATACAACTCTACAAGGCTTCCTCTGTTTCCTAAACACAATCCCACGGGCACTGTAATCAAGGAGCAAGCTAAAATGCATCTCTTTATCTTCCAGTTTACATGGCTATATTTAGAGATTCTAGATCTGGGCAAGAACCATGATTCTGCACCCACCACCATCAGAAATTACAGACCTAGTCAAGCACGATGGCTGAGGATCACCTCGAGTCAAAACGAGAACATATCTGTTATGGCCTTGCAAACAGAAACCGTAAATGCGATTTCAACACTTTCACACAGTTTTGCTTCTTTGATAAAAGTTTCCAAAGCAACAGTTAGAGCAAGTTTTATTGTTGTTCAGGTTGTCGCATTATCTGTAAACGATGAGGAGCATATTATGTATCCAGGAGTGTTAAAATCCAGAAAAGTGTGCTCTACAACCCTCACGAGGTGTCTTCAATTAACCGTTACTTGAATACGTGCAGTGTACCCACAACGTGGTCTCCACTTACGAAAAATGTAAAGACTAAAACGGAGTCCCTTAAGTGGGCGATGCTGCGGGGAAATGACTTCCTATTTAGATTTCTTGACCTACGGTAACAGTATTCTGATTTCAATTCAAATTTTAATGACTAGTTCTCTTTCTCCCTTGTCACCTTTTGAATTAAAGCCTTTTAAAGGTTCACGTTTTGGTCAGGTGTATTAGCAACTTTCCAGTGGGGCCATATTTACAACCACCTAGGAAAAACAAAATGTCACAACTAAACCGCTTTTTCTGAAGGCCCATCTCAGACACAAAAGGGAGGGTTAATAACCAAGGCTGAGCGTTGTGCATAACGTCATAGAGCCGGCAGAACACACGTATTCCACGCAGCAGCATCTTTTAACTGACTCAAATGTTATTTTTGCCTTTTTCTAAGTAGGAGGCGAAGGGAGTGGGGGTCACCGACAATGTTCTGACAAGACGCTGAGGGGGGAAAATCCACAGGCTGTTCTACCGTAAGACTGGAGCTTTGTTCGGTTCTGACTTGTGGAGACTTGCACAGACGACGACGTTATTTACGTTTTGGAGACTTCCATTTAAATGACCGAGGCAGCTGTGTCTGCCAGCCTCAGCATTTTCTCCCGGGGCCGGCTCGCGCTGGAAACCGTCTCCCCTCCCACCACAGGCCGCCCGAGAGGCCCCCGCCGGGCCGGGGCACTCTCCCTGGGGAGCGTTCTCCGTAGCTGTTAGGTACGAAGGCGGGGAGGCAGAGCCACCTCCGTGCAGCCTGGGCAGCTGTGCCGGGTTACCCGCCCGCCCGGCCCTTCGCCCGGATACCTCGTCCCGGCCGCGGCCCCCGCCGCACTGCTTGCAGCCCAGCAGGTCCGAGACGGCCAGCGAGGCCGTGTACGCCTGGTTCGCGGTGGTGGCCAGGCGCATGTCGGCGCGGGGACCGCTGCGGACGCGCAGAAGCAGCCCGGCGGCGCGGAAAAGGCGAGCGCTGACCGGACGGCCGGGCTCCGGGCTGCAGCGCCTCAGGCAGCGCGGACCTCTGCGGCGGTGCGGCGCGGACAAACAAGCCGCGCGGCCCCGCCCCCGCCGTCACTCCGCCGGCCCAGCGGCCGCCCGCGCCAATGCCGGCCCGCGGCGCCGCGGGGCTCCGCCCTCTTGGCGCGGAGGGGCGGGCGTTGGTGGGCGGTCGGACGCGGCCCGGCGAAAAACAACCTCGAGCGCCGGAGCTCCCTGCCAGGAGCTAATTCTCACGTCCAGAACTGGCTCGGTGGCCTTGCTCTAAGGCTGGGAGATGCGGCGCGAGCCCCTCAGGCGTCAATAAAGGCGAACGCGCTCCTGTCCCCAGCATCAGCGACCGAGAGCTTGCCCTCCTTCCTACCCACTCGGATTCATTTACCTTGTGCCGAAGCGCAACCCACCTCTCTGCGGACCGACACCACCTGGAAGAACCAAGTTCGCCTTACATTTTATAAACCGTTGAAATCCCCCTGGGCCTTTCCAGTAATGCGCAAACAACGCTGAATGGGCCCAGAATGCTGGAACAAGTATGGGATCATGGCCTATATTCAATATAAAATTATTTTTGGTAAGCTATGTAGAAACTATAAATATCACTCTCCCACACAGATAATAAGCCTTGGTAGCCAATCTCTGAATTTCCTTTTTCTTCGTAAGTAAACTAGAAGGCTTTAACGTTTCTAATATTCTCCCATAAGTGCCCTGGGTTCTAAAGAAAGAATTTCTCTGAAATCTGATGAGGAACTTGAGACAATATAGGTTAAAAGGGAGCATAAATAATTGACACTGTTGGACCTGGGTCGCAAATCTCTCAAGTCCTGCGTGAACACGATTTCCTTACATGGCTTCATTAACTTTTAAAAATCACCTCCTAAATTAGATCTCTTTTTGCATGTTTGCTCTTGTGTTTGCAAAAGTTTACATGTCCAGATTTTTTAAAAAGTTGGAACATTCTGACAGAAGGAAAAAAGAGGAATTTAAATCAATAAATACTGACAGACACAGATCCAGGACTCCGAAATGCAAATAAGTTTCAGTCTTAGGAGTGGAGGTTACAATGTCTCAGGGAAGACTAAGATACTCTTACAGCTTTTAAAATGTAATTTAAAGGCAAGTTAAAATGGTTATTTTTTATCTTCTCCAGATAAATAAGAAATACTGTATATTCTCATACACTGTTCTTATAAATTTGCTATAGCATGCAAAATATTTTTACTGGTCAAGAAAAGCAATTTTGGATTAATATTAACTTAAAAGAACAGGCTACAGAGGCTTCCAAGCTCTCTTCTGAGCACAGCCACAAAAGGAAACAGGATAATCAAATGCCCACTCAGTCACAAACCAACAAGCAGCAAAAATAAGTCCAGTAAATCATCCAGTTTGCAGCAATATGACATACCCTCTAAAATAAACTGGTGGTAGATGAATACCTTGGAAAGATAAATGGACTTGACATATGAGGTTCTGCGCTATGACGCTGGATAATGAGAGGAATAAGTGAAAATGATGACTCTGCTTCTAGAAGAGTTGAGCTGTGATTTTTATTTTCTGGAAGGAATACAACAATGGGGTTGAGTTGTCTAGTAGGACATAACCTTGTTTGTGACATTAAAATTGTCATTTGCAAAACGGAGAATGCTTACCTTTCTATTTCTTAATGAGAAGCAAGGGAAATGCATGCATTCAGCTAACTCAAAAATGGTTTGAAATCATTAAATACAAATCAAAACTGCAAAGTATATATAGAGTAGTATTTGATACTTAGAGTGTGATATTTATCGAGAGGCATACACTGAAATTGTATAGGAAGCTGCAATTAGGAGTTTTTCCCCTAGAAAATTTCAGTTTATGTACTTTGATGCTGCCTTACATAAAAAGAAAGATAATTTTAACTCATGTTCTAATTCAGTGGTTTATTGAGGATCTTTAAGCCATTAAATGTCAAGATTCCTTTATGGTTTCTAAAAAGACTGACAATTTCTTCGAAGAGTACTAACTTCTGCTCTTTACAGTAGAGCACTATGGTGAATTAGTCACTTTATTTTCCAACATAAAAGGGTTGCCTCCAAATAGATCTGTAGTAACCAAGAATTCCAACCAATGTATTAACCTACAAATATCACTGTATAGATTTCACTTCTTGAGTAGGCCAGATGTCCTGAAGGTGCTTCTCCTAATGAACCCCCAGTGTTTGGCATGTCACAGGCATGCAATAAACATCTGCTAAAAAAATGAAATCCTGAGCACAGAACACTAATTGGAAAGGACTAAACTTTTGATATTTACTACAGGTTATCATTATAGGCTGACAGTTACTTTATAAAGTCTGCTACTTAAACATTTCAACATGATTTCTAGGAAGAATCCTAATATTTAATCCAAGAAGTAATAGTAATTCTGAAATATTTCCTTTCCTCTAAAAATGTTTTGGTAGACTTACTCAGTTGTATCAAAGTGAGGTTTTTGCATTTGTCATTAGTAGTAATGGTCTCAACTCTAATTTTCTCAAGAATAAGCTGATATACCTATCTAAAAGCAGAGTGGTGTTAAATGACTTCATCTGAGCTGAGAACTATGATGTATTGGAGAGTCTGGACTTGAAGCTGTGGTTTAAGACAAGCTTTCTGAAGGCAGAACATCTGAGCTGGGGTTTAGAGGATTAATGGAGAGGCTATGACCAGAAAATTGAGGGTCGGGGGAGTCAGGAGACGGGGCTTGGGAGAATAGAGACAGAGTTCTAAGCAAAGTAACCAGTATGTGCAAAGGCCCAGAGGCTGGGTAGAGAGAGAATGGTCCAAATAGAGAAGCTGAATAAAGGAAGTTTATTGAGTCTGGAAGAAGACAGTGACAGAGTTCAAGTAAAAGATCAACAGTAAGGAGGGACCTTGTTCAAGCTTCATTAAAGAATGTAAATTTCATTGTTAAGAGTACTGTGGAGTTCTTGAAAGTTTTAAACAGTAGAAAGACATCAGACTTGCATTTCAGCTAAGTTTAGAAAATTATATTAGAAGGGAAAAATTAGAGGCAGACGGGTTAGGAAGGCTGTTGAGGCAATTTTGGCAAGGCAATAGGGTGGTCTGAAGAACAATGGGAATGAAGCCAAGTGTAGGATGAAGGTAGATTTTGTTTCTCCAACATAATATATTTCTTGAGAAAGGAAATCATGCCTCATACTCTTATTTTTGAAATTAAGGAAACAAATCTCAAATTAGCTGCTATCCTAAGTGGCTTTCCTACATCCATTAGACTTTTAAAAATGTAGTTAATTCATGGAAAATAAGAGATATGTTTTAGTAGAATGAATACTTATCAGGCCAAAAGGCATAATCACACTTTCATGGACCACATATTAAAGCTTGAATTTTCCCATTGACCAAAGGAATTATATTAAACTACTACAGATTTGTAGATCTATTTATTAGAAAGGAATTATATTTAGTAATTGGTTAGAAAACACACATAACAGTGATTTCAGTGATTAAGCCAAAGAACTCTTTTAAGAGTGGGCTTAAAGCATTCTTGAAAAATGTCCTATTGTCATTTAAAACATTTTATTTAGAATGAATGCTGGTTTATAAGACTACTTCTGCTTACTAATTTTATCAAGATTTTTCTCCTCCAGCTCATATCTTCCTGTTTTTATATATATAGCTTGTCTGCTAAGCACTTTTTTCCTTTCAACATGTTTTGAGTACATTGAGATCCTTTTAGCACTGAACTTTAATTTTACATTGTTCTCTTATTTGTCCTCTACTTTTCTCACTTCTTCAATTTAATTTTTAGAATTTTATCACTTATAAAGGAACAAGAATGTTGACAGACCTTTGCCTTATTCTCTCCTTTAGGGTTTCTTCTTTGAGAAATGCACAATTTTAAATCTCTAATAGGATTTTAGAAACATAGGCCATCATCCACGTTTGTAAATAAGCAGTATTCCAAACAATGTCAATAGTTTTAAATTAGAAAAGCACTTTCTCCAAAGAAGAAGCATATTAAATTGTGGTCAGGTTTTCCAGGTTAATAAGACCAGTAACTTAACTAACTCCTACCCATTAGACACTAAAGCAATTGACATGTATGAGGCAGATACTTATTCCTATTTTCAAATTTATAAAACAGGAACTTATAAAAGCATGGTAACACATCTAAGATCACAAAAGTAGTAAATAGCCTTTAAGGATTAGAACCCAGGTCTACCCAAATCCAAAGCAGCTGAAGCTGGGTTGCTTCTTTTAATGAATAATTTGCAAGTTTTGGTAACTATGTATTAGTCTCAGTTTTCTTAATAAACTCTTGCCATTCTTATTTTATTTATTTAAAAGTTAAAATTTTTTCTTAAATTTACATCCAAGCTAGTTAAGCATATAGTGCAAAAATGATTTTAGAAGTAGAATCCAGTGATTCATCCCCTACATAGAACACTCAGTGCTCATCCCAACAAGTATCTTCCTTAATACCCATTGCCCATTTAGCCCATGCCCTCACTCACAGCTCTTCAGTTTGTTCTCTGTATTTAAGAGTCTCTTATGGTTTGTTCCTCTCCCTGTTTTTATATTATTTTTGCTTCCCTTCCCTTATGTTCATCTGTTTTGTATCTTAAATTTCACATACGAGTGAAATCATATATTTGTCTTTCTCTGATTAATTTTGCTTCGCATAAAATACTCTAGTCCCAGTATTAGTCTCAGTTCTTGATTCTGAGGAGGAGAAAAGAGGGAATGAAGAAGGAAAAATTTATCTCCCTTACACTCAGGATGAGATCTGGCTTTAAAAAAATCATG